TTTTTTTTTTTTTTTTTTTTGAGACGGAGTCTCGCTCTTGCTACCCAGGCTGGAGTGCAATGGCGCGATCTCAGGTCACCGCAACCTCCGTCTCCTGGGTTCAGGCAATTCTCCTGCCTCAGCCTCCTGAGTAGCTGGGATTACAGGCACGTGCCACCATGCCCAGCTAATTTTTTTTTGTATTTTTAGTAGAGACGGGGTTTCACCATGTTGACCAGGATGGTCTCGATCTCTTGACCTTGTGATCCACCCGCCTCAGCCTCCCAAAGTGCTGGGATTACAGGCTTGAGCCACCGCGCCCGGCTTTTTTAATTTTTGTATTTTTAAAAGAGATGGGGTTTCACCATGTTGACCAGACTAGTCTCAAACTCCTGACCTCAGGTGATCCACCTGCCTCGGCCTCCCAGAGTGCTGGGATTACAGGTGTGAGCTACTGCACCAGGCCTGGAATTTTTAATTTATGGAAATAGGCTTTACCTCTTGAATGGGCAAAGTAAGAAGAGCTTTGACAACCTTTGGATTCAGATTCATGTTCTGTTGAAGCTACATTTTTTTTTTAAGATGGAGTCTCACTCTGTCCTCTATTGCCTAGGCTGGAGTGCAATGGCGTGATATTGGCTCACTGCAACCTCTGCCTGGTGGGTTCAAGCGATTCTCCTGCTTCAGCCTCCTGAGTACCTGGGATTACAGGTGCTTGCCACCATGCCTGGCTAATTTTTTGTATTTTTAGTAGAGACGGGGTTTCACCATGTTGGCCAGGTTGATCACAAACTCCTGAGCTCAGGTGATCCACCTGCCTTGGCCTACCAGAGTGCTGGGATTACGGGCATGAGCCACCTCACCCAGGCTCTTTTTTTTTTTGAGATGGAGTTCCACTCTGTCACCTAGTCTGGAGTGCAATGGCATGGTCTTGGCTCACTGCAACATCCACCTCCCAGGTTCAAGCGAGTCTCATGCCTCAGCCTGCCAAGTAGCTGGGGTTATAGATGTGTGCCATCACACCTGGCTAATTTTTGTATTTTTAGTAGAGGTGAGGTTTCACCATGTTGGCCAGGCTGGTCTCGAACTCCTGACCTCAGGTGATCTGTCCACCTCAGCCTCTGAAAGTGCTGGGATTACAGATTACAGGTGTGAGCCACAGCATCCGGCCAAAACTACATCATTTTTTTTTTTTTAGATGGGGTCTCACTCTGTTGCCCAGGCTGGAGTGCAATGGCATGATCTTGGCTCACTGCAACCTCCACCTCCCAGATTCAAGCGATTCTCCTGCCTCAGCCTTCCAAGTAGCTGGGATTACAGGCGTGCACCACTATGCCCTGCTAATTTTTGAATTTTTAGTATAGACGGGGTTTCACCATATTGGTCAGGCTGGTCTCAAACTCCTGACCTCGTGATCTGCCCACCTCAGCCTGCCAAAGTGCTGGGATTACAGGTGTGAGCCACCATGGCTGGCCAAAGCTACATCATTTTTAAGCAATCACTTTCATTTTCTTCATTAGGAAGCATGAGCCTGATTTGGGTAGAATCCTGATGAACTGGCCAGTGCTGTAAAGGAGCTTCGATCAACCCCGAGAGCCTTGAGATGGTAGGCAGAGTTCAGAGTAAGATGCATGGAAATTCGAACATGCCCCATTCTGCATCCGCAAAGATCTTGACTGCATGCAGCACTTTGGGGACTGGGCGGCAAGGACCAGGATGGAGACCCTGGAGAAGACTGACAGGCGGTGGCATTGATACCAAACTGTCATGAGTAAGGTGGCTTCTGAGCTTCTGAGCATCCAGCTGGAAGTAGGGTTTTTTTTTGTTTTGTTTTTTGAGACAGAGTTTCACTCTTTTGCCCAGGCTGGAGTGCAATGGTGCAATCTTGGCTCACTGCAACCTCTACCTCCTGGGTTCAAGCAGTTCTCCTACCTCAGCCTCCCCAGTAGCTGGGATTACAGGAATGCACTACCACACCTGTCTAATTTTTTTGTGTTTTTAATAAAGACAAGGTTTCTCCATTTTGGTCAGGCTGGTCTTGAACTCCCAACCTCAGGTGATCCGCCCACCTTGGCCTACCAAAGTGCTGTGATTACAGGCGTGAGCCACTGTGCCTGGCCTGGAAGCAATTTTAAGTGTCTGTTCCTGGTTATTGAGGAGTCAGAATAGAAGACATTTCCAGTCACATGAATCTCGGTTGGGAGGGTTTGCATGTCATGCCTGGAAAAGAAGTGACTTCTGCCCACCCATTGGCACCCATCACTGGTTAGTGGGGCTGTGTCCATGCTCTGAATGAGTCTGTTCTCAGAAACTCTAGGAACGCATAAAGGACTTGCATCTACAAATGCCACTGGTGCCCCTGCCTCTGGTGACTTGACAAGACAATGCAATTCATTCTGCATTTCCAGTTTCCACCTGTGTTCACTGTTTGCTTATGTTGATGTGATTTGTTCATCCCATTTTAGGCGCCAAAAACCAAGAAGGGATGGAAAGGTGAGTGGAGAGATGGAATATTACTCTTATGCCAAATATAGGCCTTTTCCCCGGAACAATGAGGTGTGTGTTTTATTTAAATGTTTTTGATGAGAGTTTTGCTGTTTTTCCCATTATTCCATTGGCTGCCTTGGTCTTCCTTATGCTGCCTCACTGGTCCTCAGAGAAGTCTGGAAAAAATCCTCCTTGGGCTCTGTATCCAGAAATATGTGGTTGGGATTCAGGGTGGGAAAGCTGGGTGGGAAAACAAATTCGATATTCGCACTTAGGTTCCCCCACATGCCTCCCTCAGAAAGTGGCCATTGATGGGGACATCCAGACCAGTTCTGGGGGGTCTTTGATGGAAGGGTACAAAGAGCCTGCTTGTCTGAAAGTAGCTTCCCTGTGCCTAGAAATCTTGGGAACTTTTCCCAAAGTGTCGCACTGGGCCGTGTTCAGAGCCTAGAAGGCTGATCGTTGACCAGTGTGCTATGGTAGGCAGGTAGAATACAGGTTCTGCTGAAACTCTGCACCATCATCCTGTTAGTTACTTTATTTCATTTTATTTTTTTGAGACAGAGTCTCGTTCTTGTCACCCAGGCTAGAGTACAGTGGTACGATCTTGGCTCACTGCAGTCTCCGCCTCCCAGGTTCAAGAGATTCTCCTGCCTCAGCCTCCCGAGTAGCTGGGCTTACAGGCCCAAATGCCACCACGTCCAGCTAATTTTTGTATATTTAGTAGACATTAGGTTTCACCATGTTGGCCAGGCTGGTCTTGAACTCCTGACCTCATGATCTGTCTACCTTAGCCTCCCAAAGTGCTGGGATTACAGGCGTGAACCACTGTGCCCAGCTGAGATAGTTATTTTAAATTTCTCCCTCCGGATGTTTCAACAAGACAGTATGGCTTGTGCTAGAGACTTAGAAAACATCTCGTGGCCAATGAGAGGAGAGCTAAGCCTAGGTCCCAACATCTGAAAGCCCTGAGGCCTTCTAGCAAGCCTCGAGCCTTGAGGTTTTTAAGGGCCAGTCTTGTTTCCTCCTGAAGTCATGACTCCCTTTTCTGTTCCAGGCTCCATTGATGATTTACTTGATGACCTTCTAGGGGATGATAGTAAGTGCCCCTTTCCCAGAATCCCCTAATTTAGCCTGCCATTGCTGCTGCTTTTTTTTTTTTCTCACTGTGTTGCCCAGGCTGGTCCCAAGCTTCTGGGCTCAATCGATCCTCCTGCCTCATGAACCAGAGTGCTGGGATTACAGGCGTGAGCTACTACACCCAGGCTTTTTTAAAAATTGAGATAGAAGTTACATAGCATAAAGTCTACTCCTGTAAAGTATACAACTTAGTGGTTTTAGAATATTCACAAAGATGTACAACCATCACAACTACCTAATTCCAGAACACTTCCATCACCCCATAAAGAAACCCCATACCCGTTAGTAGTCAATTTCATTCTCTCCTCCCTCCAACCTTAGGCAACCACTTTTTTTTTTTTTCTTTTTTTTGAGACAGAGTCTCACGCTGTCACCCAGACTGGAGTGCAGTGGCACAATCTCTGCTCACTGCAGCCTTTGCCTCCTGGGTTCAAGCGATTCTCATGCCTCGGGTTCCAAAGTAGCTGGGACTACAGGCACACACCACCACACCCAGCTAATTTTTGTATTTTTTGTAGAGACGGGGTTTCGCCATGTTGGCCAGGCTGGTCTCGAACTTCTGGCCTCAGACACCTGCCTCAGCCTCCCAAAGTGTTGGGATTACAGGCATGAGCCACCATGCCTGGCACACTTAGCTTCTCTGATGTAGCATAATATTTTCCATGTTTATCCACTCTGTAGCATGAATCAGTACAACTTTTTTTTATGGCTAAATAATGTTCCATTGGGTGGATAAATCACATTTTGTTTAGCTGTTCATCAGTTGATGGATATCTGAGTTATTTCCACATTTGGGCTGTTAGGAATACTGCTGTTAAGAACGTTTGTATACTCGTTTTTGGGTAGACATGTGTTTTCAGTTCTTGTGGAATTCCTGGACCATATGGTAACTGTAGGTTTAACCTTTTGAGGAGGCTGCTTTTTCACAGCAGCTGTGCAGTTTTATATCCCACCAGCAGTGTAAGAGGGGTCCAGTTTCTCTACATCCTTGCTAATAATTATTTTCCTTCTTTGATTATTGCCATCCTAGAGGGTATAAAGTGGGTATCTCATTGTAGTTTTGATGTGTATTTCCCTAATGACGGATGATGTTCAGCATCTTTTCATGTGTTTATTGGCCATGTGTATATCTTCTTTGGAGAAATGTCTGTTCAGATCCTTTGCCTCTTTTAATTGGGTTGTCTTTTTATCGTTGAGTTGTAAGAGTTCCTTATATATTCTGGATGCTAATCCATATTATTTGTGTTCATATTGGTCTGTTAAGGAGCATGGCTTCTTGGTCATGCAAAGCTCACCAGGGACAGAGAGGCTTAGGTTAGGTTTCCCCCACATGGCCCTAGAGAACCCACAAACTCCAGCCTACAGTTTGGGCTGTGGAAAAGCAGTTGTTCCTCCTGCATTTTCTTGGGGTGCAGTTGGGTTGGGCTCTTCATTTGGTATTCGGCATTTAGGGTTGACCTCCTCCTTGGAAATGTTCTGCCCTCTCTCCCATTGAGGTTTTCCAAGGGGTGACATTGGGACCTGCTTACGGGGGCAGTTTCCTTCCTCCTAACACAGAGACAACTTGGGGAGGGAGTTTGCAAGCCTTTGCGTCTTGACTCCAGGTCCCTTTAGCTGAATGACACGTTTTCTCTTTTCTTTTTTTCCAGTGACACTACCTGAGAAGCCTGTTAAACTAGCTTCACGTGCCAGAGACACCACAGGTGTATCTCAGATGTTCCCTTCTTCAAAGGCTAGAACAAAGTAAGGGCGGGGTCGGCCTGGGTATCTGTAACCTACTTTAGTCTAAATGCTCTTTGCCTCTCCACCCCCCACTTTCTACTAGGCATCTGCTTGCCCTTTTGTCTTGCTCTGTTACTCAGGCTGGAGTGCAGTGGCGCAATCTCAGCTCACTGCAACCTCTGCCTCCCAGGTTCCAGCAGTTCTGCCTCAGCCTCCCGAGTAGCTGGGATTACAGGCACACACCACCGTGCCTGGCTAATTTGTTATTGGTAGAGACGGGGTTTCACCATGTTGGCCAGCCTGGTCTCAAACTCCTGACCTCAGGTGATCCGCCCGCCTCAGACTCCCAGTGTGCTGGGATTACAGATGTGAGCCACTGCACCTGGCCAGCTCCTGCTTTTATTGAAGGAGCCTGGGGAAGTTAAAGAGAACTGCACAGGTCAGCAGTCCTGGCTTCTGTCCTACATCTGTTACTTATTGTATGACCTTGGGCAGTTTCTGAACTTCTCTGAGAACTAATTTTCTTATCCTCACAATTAAAGGATTAGCTTAGATCAGTGATTTTCAAATTGTGTTTGTTCTACGGTTTACCTGGCAGATGAGCGATAGGGAAGAGGTTTGTGGCCCTCCTCCCTCATGTGATCTGGAGTGGTTGTTTTTCTCTCTTACATATTGTTTTTGTTTTGTTTTACTTTATTTTATTTTTTGAAATGAAATCTTGCTCTGGAGTGCAGTGGCGTGATGTCGGCTCATTGTAGCCTCTACCTCCCGGGTTCAATTGATTCCCCTGCCTCAGCCTCCCGAGTAGCTGGGATTTCAGGTGCCTGCCACAACACCTGGCTAATTTTTGTATTTTTAGTAGAGACAGGGTTTTACCATGTTGGCCAGGTTGGTCTCGAACTTCTGACCTCAAGTGATCCGCCTGCCTCAGCCTCCCAAACTGCTGGGATTACAGGCATGAGCCACCATGCCCAGCCCTTTACATATTATTTTTAACAATTTGTTTTTAAAGCAGTTCTACTGCTTTAACAAAGTGGAAAATCACTGCATCAGGTGGCCTGTGACGTTCCTTTTAGCACCTCTGTTCTCCAGAGAAATCTATCAGAGTTTCCTTGGACTTTCTAAGTCACTCTTCCCCTTTTTAGAGTCATCCAGTGCCCTGGGATGCAGGCAGGGGCTGATGCCTCCTCTTTGCAGGTCCTTCTTGGGAGATGGTGTCTTCAGCCCTGTGGCAGGCCTGGAAGAAGCTGATGCTGAGGTAAGCCTGGCCATTCCCCACTTCTCCACCTCTCTACTTATCCCCAGAAACAATGAGATGGGTGTCATGGCCAACAGGCTGCCCACAAAGGGTTTAGAAAGCCCTGCAAAGTCACTGTTCTTAAAGCAAAATAATGCCCCAGGGGCTGCCGAGTGAACCCAAAGCAGCATTCTCTTTTTTTTTTGAGATGGAATCTTGCTGTGTCACCCAGGTTGGTGTGCAGTGGTGTGATCTCAGCTCACCGCAACCTGCGCCTCCCGGGTTCAAGCAATTCCTCTTCCTCAGCCTCCCAAGTAGCTGGGATTACAGGTGTGTGCCACTACGCCCTGCTAATTATTTTGCATTTTTAGAAGAGATGGGGTTTTACCATGTTGGTCAGGCTGGTCTCGAACTCCTGACCTCGTGATCCACCCAACTCGGCCTCCCAAAGTGCTGGGATTACAGGCATGAGCCACCATGCCCAGCCTGCATTCTTTTTCCTGTAGTAAGATGAGTGGAAAGGAGAGCTCCCTGAAACTGTTAGAGTCTTAGACGTTGCTCCTTTCTCATAATAAACTCCATAGCTGTCCATTGGCATGGGTGGGAAGGAGCAGAATTCCAGTCCTGGATGAAAGGGTGGGAGGAGCAGGAAGGGCAGTGCTTTTGGAGTCTCTACAACCAGGCAGGTTTGGCTTCAAACAACTGCCAATCCCAAGCGAGTGGAACAAAGCCACCCTCCTGTATGAGCTCCGTTGGCCAAGGTCTGCTCCTGCTGCGCCATATGCCCTAACAGCAGCAAGGGGCCAAAGCCCTGAGTTTTAATGGGCCTTGACTAGTGTGCCTCCTTGTCTGTGTCCTCACCCTCCTTGTGGACTTAGGTTTCAGGTGTCTCAGAGGCAGACCCACAGGCTCTGCTCCAGGCCATGAAGGTAAGGAAACAGCTTGCACAATTCTTAGAGCTGGGGGTGGGGTGGGGTAATGATATTTTGTGCCAAGACTTCATTCTCCCTCTAATTTCTCCTTTTACAACCTGTGTTTCTGAGCCCTTCTTCGGGCAAGCATGGAGCTTGTCTGTGAGCCATTGGCCTTCTTGCCTCTCTGGGTATCAACCAGTATTCCTGGTATATGGAGAGTGGAGGCTGCCACTGCCGGGTGCAGTGGCTGACACTTGTAATCCCAGCACTTTGGGAGGCCGAGGTGAGCAGATCACGAGGTGAGGAGTTCAAGACCAGCATGACCAACATAGTGAAACCCTGTCTCTACTAAAAATACAAAAATTAGCGGGGCATGGTGGCGTGAGCCTGTTATCCCAGCTACTCGGGAGGCTGAGGCAGGAGAATCACTTGAACCCAGGAGGTAGAGATTGTGGTGAGCCAAGATCACGCCACTACACTCTAGTGTGGGCAACAGAGCAAGACTCCATCTCAAAAAACAAAAAGAGTAGAGGCTGCCACAGGCCTCTGGGGAAGTGGGGCCAGCCCTACTTGGAGGCTTACCTGGCTGGGTCCCCTCACCTCCACCTAGGGGACAGAGGGGGAGACTGTCTCCTCTAATGCTTGCTCTTCACCTTTCTCCATATTTCTCTCCGCATCTCCAGCCAAGCCCCTTCAGTACTGCTGTCCTCTCATCAGATAAATCCAGTGCTGATCTTTGCAGTGGAATTTTAAGGCACAGATTCTGAACAGTTTATAAGAACATAATCGCTAGCTTGGCCTAGGACATCTTGTTTTCCTCTCCTTGCAGCCAGCAGTACCCCACTGTCTGACCCTGGGGTTTTTTGTCCCTTTTAGTTAACCCATTTTGCCATGGTCCCTAGGAGAAGGCCAAGCTTTTGGTTATAGCCCTATGGGGCGCGTGTTTTTTGGTTGTTTTTTCTTTGTTTTATTTTTTTTTTTAGAGACACCATCTCATCTGTCACCCAGGCTGCCAGGCTGGAGTCCAGTGCTGTGATCTCTCATTGCAACATTAAACTCCTGGCCTTAAGTGATTCTCTTACCTTGGCCTCCTAAAACACTGTAATTACAGTCATGAGGCACCACATCCGGCCCAGATTCATCTTCTTTAACCTCATCTGGAAGTCTTTCTCCTCAAAGGCCAGGCACAGTCAGTCATACCTGTAATCCCAGAACTTTGGGAGGCCAAGGCAGTAGGATCACCTGAGCCTAGGAGTTGGAGGCTGCAATGAGCTATGATCATACCACTGCACTCCAGCCTGGGTGACAGAGTGAGACTCTGTATTTAAAAAAAAAAAAAAAAAAAAAAAAAAAAACCCTAGCAGGGTAGCTCATACCTGTAATACCAGCACTTTGGGAGCCCAAGGCAGGTGGATTGCTTGAGCTCAGGAATTTGAGACCAACCTGGGCAACATAGCAAAACCCCATCTCCATGAAAAATACAAAAATTAACTGGTGTTCACCTGTAGTCCCAGCTACTCACATGGCTGAGGTGGGAGGATCACTTGAGCCTGGAGATCACGGCTGCAGTGAGCTGTGATGGCACCACTGCACGCCAGCCTGGGTGACAGAGTGATATCCTGTGTTTTTTTATTTTTTTTTTGAGACAGACTCAGTCTGTCACTAGGCTGGAGTGCAGTGACGTGATCTTTGCTCACTGCAACCTCCGTCTCCCAGGTTCAAGCGATTCTCCTGCCTCAGCCTCCTGAGTAGCTGGGATTACAGGCGTGCGCCATCACACCCGGCTAATTTTTGTATTTTTAGTAGAGATGGGGTTTCACCATATTGGCCAGGATGGTCTGGATCACTTGACCTTGTGAACCACCTGCCTCACCCTCCCAAAGTGCTGGGATTACAGGCGTGCGCCACCATGCCCGGCCTTCATTTTCTTTCTTAACTCAGTGTTTTTTTCAGTAGTTTTCTCATTTTCCTTTGTTTTCTCACAATTCCGCCCCTTGGCGAGCCCTTGGCTCTCAGGTGGAAGTCCTCACCCCTTCATCAGACATCATCCTCCGCTCTCCCTCCCTGGTTTTCTAGGACCTGGATGGCATGGATGCTGATATCTTAGGTCTGAAGATGTCTAATCCAGCCCCTAGCAAAAAAGCTGCAAAGGACCCTGGGAAAGGAGAGCTGCCCAACCACCCCAAGCCTGCGGGTGAGTCAGTAGCCAGTGAGAAAGGTGCAGAGGAGATGGCTCCTCAAATTTGCTAGGGAGACTTTGAGGACATGGAAAATGCTAGAAGGAAGCATTTGTGTCCTTGGGTTATCTCTGCGTGGATGGAGAGGCCAAGGAGGAGTTGTACATGTGTGTGTGTGAGTGTGTGTGGTGGGGTAAGGGGACAGCTTGAGTTTCCTCCCTTCCTTGAGCTGTTCCAGTCCCTCTGAGTCCAGCACGGGCAGCTCCTGGAGAGGCTGTGTGAGTTAAAATGGAGAACTCTACGGTAGCCTGTGCCTCTCCTGAACCCGTGTGTCTGGAGTGACTCATGATGAGAGAGCAGAGGTAGCTCCTACCATGTTTCCCTGGCAGAAATCCATGGGAGAACTGGAGGCCCCTCCCTTGGCTGTGCTCATGGCCATGAGTCCCCAGCTTCCCAGGAAGAAGTGCACCCATCCCAAGGGCCCCGGTCCGTGGTGTGGGAGGACTTTGGCCAGGAGAGACCCAGGCCCACGACCTTGTCTTCTGCTTCCTGCAGGGGGTGCCATTCCTACCAAGCAGTCACCTCCGTCTCCCATCAGCTCTGGGCATCAGAACAGGAGGTTTTCCTCTGAAGGTACCATAGGCTCCTGTCATGCCTCTGGGACACTCTGGTTTGGGGGTGGATCAGCCTGCGGACACATGCTGGCCCAAGGCCTAGCTGCTGCGTATGTTACATGGGGAGCAGAGAGTTGGTGCCACCGGTGTAGGTCCTCATGAATTCATGTCAGGACCAGTTATACGATATTGGCTAAGATATTAGGGAACTTATTTGCAAAGGCCTTAAAGCCAGACATCACACTGAAGATTTTCCAAAGTATAGGAAGAAGTCCCTTTCCTGTCGTGAATGTGTGGATGTTTTTCTTTCTTTTCTTTTTTCCTTTGTTTTTTTGCTGTGCCCAAAGTTATCTCGAAAAATAGAGAATGTGTGGATGTTTTACTTCTCTTCTGATGCCTTCGGGACATTTCTAGAAGGCCATGCAGCCTGCAAGTCAGACGCCCCATAGGCAAGCCTGAGGCAGGCTCATAAGCCCAGGGCCACCCTCTGACTCCCTATCCCCTTGCCCAGCCCTGCGGTGTTCCCCCAGGCCCCACCCTGCAGATGCCAGGGGGCTTTTTGTGTACTGGAGCAGATAGAAATTTTTTTTTTTTTGGAGGTGGAGTCTTGCTCTGTCACCCAGGCTGGAGTACAGTGGCGCGATCTCCACTTACTGCAACCTCCACCTCCCAAGTACAAGCGAGTCTCCTGCCTCAGCCTCCTGAGTAGCTGGGATTACAGGTGTGCACCACTATGCCCAGCTAATTTTTTGTATTTTTAGTAGAGATGGGGTTTCACCATGTTGGCCTACGCTGGTCTCGAACTCCTGACTTCGTGATCCGCCCACCTCAGCCTCCCAAAGTGCTGGGATTACAGGGGTGAGCCATGGCGCCTGGCCTGGAACAGCTAGAAATCTTTTTTTTTTTTTTTTTGAGACGGAGTTTCGCTCTTGTTACCCAGGCTGGAGTGCAATGGCGCGATCTCGGCTCACCGCAGCCTCCGCCTCCTGGATTCAGGCAATTCTCCTGCCTCAGCCTCCTGAGTAGCTGGGACTACAGGCACGCGCTACCATGCCCAGCTAATTTTTTGTAGTTTTAGTAGAGACGGGGTTTCACCATGTTGACCAGGATGGTCTCGATCTCTTGACCTCGTGATCCACCCGCCTCAGCCTCCCAAAGTGCTGGGATTACAGGCTTGAGCCACCGCGCCCGGCCTTAGAAATCTTGACTTGAGGGCTACTCCCCCAGTTCAGGCTTGCTTTTCCTGAACTAAGTGCTGCAGCCTGACCTGTGCTTTCCCTTCTGCTAGGAGACTTGGAGGACCCGTTGGCAGGACTTCTCTCCTATGATGAAGAAGGAATCACTAAGAAGCCGCCTGTGACAGAGAGCAAAACAGCTTCTGACAAGAGCCCCAGCACAGTTAGAGATCAAGGTAGGGCGGACTGGGCTATTTCTCAGCCAGGGGAAGGGTTTATTGCCAACAGGCTGACCATCCTTTCAGGTTCAGAACCAGGGGCCTCTCCCAGGGGGGGACCAGAAGTCTCAGGTTCAGTACAAAGAGATCATCATCAGTCTTCAGGAACAGGGAGGAGGGATGCATCGTGAGCCTGGGAGGAGGCTGGGGGAGTTGGGTCCTATGGACAGACCAGGCAGGTCCAAAGCCTGCCGTCCTACCCAAAGGCGTAGAGAAACCACCCCAACCCATTCAGATGTCATCGTTAAGGGCAGGCAGGCTGTGGGCATTGGGCCTTGTGTTCTGTCTTTTAGGTCCCTCTATTCCTCTAACTCCTGGGGACACCCCCATCCGAAATAAAGAAGAATTGTTTGATGATGGAGATGACATCATGGCCACCTTGGGGTTTGGAGACAGCCCCAAAGCAGAGAAGAGGCAGATGGGAGACCAGTAAGAATCCCTATGAGTAGAGGGCCCTGGCCAGGCTGCTGCTTCCAGTTCAGGGCAAAGCTGGTGGACGGGTACAGTGGGGGTCCCAAGAGCCCCTCACACCCACATGTTCCTGCCCTGCGTCCTGTCCTGCAGGGAAGGGCCTCGCCCTGCTCGCTCCACGCTGGATGAGCTGCTGGGTCGAGGCACAGCAACCAAACTCCTGACCCGCCCGGCCACAGGGGAGCGCAGGGAATTCAAGCTAGACAAGAAGTACCAGAGGCCACAGGGTAAGGAGGCTTTCAGGGGATGCAACGGGAGGGGAGGGAGGCCTCTAGACCAGGCTTTCATTACAACCTGTAATAAGAAGGCAGCTTCACATCCAGATACACACGTGATTCTACACATCTGTAGCTGAGACAAGCAGCATCATGAAATATCACCGTGACCACTGTTCGTGTGCGGTGGTCTGTGATTAATGCTGTTTGATCTGGAAATACACTGGCTATGACACATTCAGCTGGTTTCTCGGGCCTCTCATGGGTAGCAGCTTGCATTTGAAAAGCACTGCTCTGGCTAGTGTATCTCAAGGCGTTGGTCCACAGCCGTCGGCTGTTGAGAATCGTTCTGTTGTTTTTTTGAGACTGAGTCTCGCTCTGTTGCCCGGCTAGAGTGCAGTGGCACAATCTTCGCTCACCGCAACCTCCACCCCCTGGGCTCAAGCAATTCTCCTGCCTCAACCTCCCAAGTGGCTGGGATTACAGGCACACGCCACCACGCCCAGCTAATATTTTTTGTATTTTTAGTAGAGACAGGGTTTCACCACGTTGGCCAGGATGATCTCAATCTCTTGACCTCGTGATTCGCCCACTTTGGCCTCCCAAGGTGCTGGGATTACAGGCATGCGCTACTGCGCCTGGCTTTCTTTTCTTTTCTTTTTTTTTTTTTATTTTGAGATGGAGTCTCCCTCTGCTGCCCAGGCTGGAGTGCAATGGCGCAATCTCGGCTCACTGCAACCTCCGCCTCCTGGGTTCAAGCAATTCTCCTGTCTCAGCCTCCCGAGTAGCTGGAATTAACAGGCGCACGCCATCACGCCTGGCTAATTTTTGTATTTTAGTAGAGACAGGTTTTCATCATGTTGGCCAGGCTGGTTTCGATCTCTTGACATTGTGATCTGCCCACCTCAGCCTCCCAAAGTGCTTGCATTACAGGCGTGAGCCACCGTGCTTGGCGAGAATTGTTCTTGTGACGCATGCAGTTCACTGGGCCTGACCTCGAAGGATCCTGGGGTAGGGCCTGGCTGCCATAAGGCCACTGCATCTTCCTGGCTGGTGCCTGAGGTGCTCCCTTCATAGCGGCTTCCCTCTGCTTGTCTTATACGACAAGCTACCAAATTCAGCTCTTGTTAGACAGAATTTTGCAGCCACAAATGAGCTTGGTTCCCCCTACTCCAGATTATCATCACAGGCTCCTTAATTCACAGACAGCGAAGATGCGTGGGGTGACGAGGACTTCACCTTCGGAGCCTATCAGCCCACTGTGGGCTCCTCTGAGGGCCGGCAGTCCCGCCGGCAGTCTGTCAGGTAAGCAGGGCCTACGGGGGACTTGGCCTCTGAGAGGCCGACCACTGGGAAGACAGGCCCCTGCAGCTGTCCCCCATCCCACCCGAGAGTCTCGTGTGGGAGGCCACAGTGTGCAAGGTCCTTGGCTCTTCGAGGGCTGAAGGAAGTGGGAGGTAGCCTGGTCCCACCAGCCCAGACAGACTGGTGGAGACGGCCCCAGTGGGAGACCCATTCCAGCCGCTGCTCAGGTTCGTTAGTGCCCCACCCAGCCTCAGAAGGAAAGGAGCAGGTGGGCTGGCCTCCATCTAAAGCCCCTGAAGTCATAAAAGGCCGTCATGTCAGGCTGGGCACGGTGGCTCACACCTGTAATTCTGGCACTTTGGGAGACCAAGGCAGATGGATCACGAGGTCAGGAGATCAAGACCATCCTGGCCAACATGGTGAAACCCTGTCTCTACTAAAAATACAAAAAAAATTAGCTGGCCGCGGTAGCACGCACCCGTAGTCCCAGCTACTCAGGAGGCTGAGGTAGGAGAATTGCTTGAACCTGGAGGTGGAGGTTGCAGTGATCTGAGATCACACCACTGCACTACAGCCTGGCAACAGAACAAGACTCTGTCTCAAAAAAAATTATAATAATAAAAAAGTGCTGTGCCGTTACTCGGTCTCCCCAAGGAACATACATCCCGACAAGTAGCAAGACCACTGGCCTCTACGGGGGCTTCTCACACCCCGCTTCCCAGGAGCTCTGCTGTCAAACCTGACGTGACAATTCTGACAGCATAATCCCCCCAGTTTACAACAAAAAAAATTTTTTTTTTTTTTTGAGACGGAGTTTCACTCATGTTACCCAGGCTGGAGTGCAATGGCGCGATCTCGGCTCACCGCAACCTCCACCTCCTGGGTTCAGGCAATTCTCCTGCCTCAGCCTCCTGAGTAGCTGGGATTACAGGCACGCGCCACCATGCCCAGCTAATTTTTTGTATTTTTAGTAGAGACGGGGTTTCACCATGTTGGCCAGGATGGTCTCGATCTCTTGACCTCGTGATCCACCCGCCTTGGCCTCCCAAAGTGCCGGGATTACAGGCTTGAGCCACCGCGCCCGGCCAACAAAAAAATTAAATCAATGACAGGATTTTCTGAGTTTGGAGTTTTTTTTCCCAGTATATATTTTAAACTTTGTATTTTGAAGTAATTTTAAACTTCGGTAATCCGCTGGGTGCAGTGGCTCACACCTGTAATCCCAGCAGTTTGGGAGGCAGGTTGATCACCTGAGGTCAGGAGTTCGAGACCAGCCTGGCCAACATGGCGAAACCCTGTCTTTACTAAAAATACAAAAATTAGCTGGGTGGGATGGTGGGCGCCTATAATCCCAGCTACTCAGGAGGCTGAGGGAGGAGGCGGAAGTTGTGGTGAGCTGAGATCATGCCACTACACTCTAGCCTGGGCAACAGAGGGAGACTCCGTCTCAAAAAAAAAAAAAAACTTCAGAAGTTGTAAAAACAGCACCAGGTGCTCTCTTCTCATCCTTTCCCAGGCTCAGCAGTTGTTACCATTATGCCAGGGCGGCTTCCTCAGCCTCTTTCTATCTGAAGAGCTCTATGTACACCGGTATTTCTTCCCACACCCAGTACCTCCTTAACCCTGGGAACCTGCTGCCACTGGTCAGTGACAGATGAAGGCCATGGCCGAACAAATGAAGTAACAGAGTGGCTGTTGGTAGAAAGCCTGGAAACCACTTGATTCGACTTATTTTTTATTTTATTTTTTTGAGACGGAGTCTCTCTCTGTCGCCAGGCTGGAGTATAGTGGCACAATCTCAGCTCACTGCAACCTCTGCCTCACGGGTTTGAGCAATTCTCCTGCCTCAGCCTCCTAAGTAGCTGGGATTACAGGTGCCCACCACCATGCCCAGCTAATTTTTGTATTTTTAGTAGAGATGGGTTTCACCATGTTGGCCAGGCTGGTCTCAATCTCCTGACCTTGTGATCTGCCCGCCTCAGCCTCCCAAAGTGCTGGGATTACAGGCATGAGCCACTGTGCCCAGCCTTTTATTTTTTTTAGACAGAGTCTCACTCTGTTGCCCAGGTTGGAGTACAGTGGCATGATCTCAGTTTCCCGCAACTTCCGCCTCCCAGGTTCAAGCAATTCTCATGCTTCAGCATCCCAAATACCTGGGACTACAGATGCCCACCACCATGCCTGGCTAATTTTTTTGTGTTTTTAGTAGAGATTGGGTTTTACCATGTTGGCCAGGCTAGTTTTAAACTCTTGGCCTTAAGCAGTCTGCCCACTTTGGCCTCCCAAAGAGCTGGGGTTACAGGCATGAGTCACCACACCCAGCCTGATTTGTCTTTAGACCTGTATGCCCGGGGCTGTCATTTGATCCCATTCTCTGTGGGTAGAACTGTCCCTGGTTCATGTGATGGAAGTCAAGGTCTCTATACTTCTTGGTGTTCTATAGACAGCACATGGCCTGCCACCTAAGCCAGCCTAGGAGCCACTGCTCACTGGGCCTCAGCTGACTGTGCAGGGTCCCTGGGCATCGTGATGCCTAGCCACAGGCTGCTAGGGGACCACTGCGACTGGCTACTTCCCCTGCCTGACACTCTCCTTTCTGTCTTGAAGTAGGTTCTTAGCAGACAGTGGCCCAGACCCCAAGGGAGAACCAGGCTCCAGACAGAGCCCTCCAGCCACTTCCAGCCCCATCCAGCCCAGGAAGGGAGGAGCTGACTGGTTGGGCCTCAAGGACGATGACTTGGACCTGCTCCCTGCCTCACCCACCAGAGAGGCCCGTCAGGAAACCTCAGTGCTTGCCACGCCCTCAGTGCCTCCTCCTGAGAGCCAGCACTCTGTACCAGCTGGGCTGCCCCCCTCCAAGGCAAAGCCACCAACTGAAGGTGCAGGGTCCCCTGCCAAAGCCAGCCAGGCTTCCAAGCTGCGAGACTCCGAGAAGGAGGAAGAAGACTGGCTGAGCCATGCCCTGTCTCGGAAGAAGTCCCAAGGCCTGGCCAGAGAGCAGTGTGCTGGGGCCTCTGAGGGCCTGAGTTTTGCAGGGACAGTGGGCCATCCCCCTTCTGGCAGGTACAGGCTTGGGATACTGTGGCTTGTAGGGGGACTTGAGGGGCTCCTTTGCCCTCTGACCTGTCGCAGCCTCAGTTGGGAACAAGGCAGTGCGCCGTGGGCACAGAGGCTGCTTCTTGGCTTTGCTACTCTGCCTTTTGGGCACTACAGAGAGAGCCTCTGGCTTCCTGGCTTGCCCCAGGGACAGACCCAACAGGACTGGGGAGCTGTTGACATTTGTGCCCTGATTGCCATGGGGACAGGTGCTAACTTGATTGGGCAGAACAGGGGATACCTGAGATGGCAGACACACCACTGCCCTGCCTCTGAGCAGTGCCCTGCCACAGTGCCCTCAGGCTGGCAGCCTCAGCGTCCAAACAGCTGGTGTTTCTGCCAGCTCCACTGAAGTGAATATGGAGTGTGTGAGCTGAGATGTCCCTGTGCTCTTTGAAAGTGTTAGAGGAGACACAGTGGCCCAGAGGCACCTCCTGAAGAAGCCACAGAAGGGAGAGCCGTGGGACAGGATAGTGAGCGACCTCTGAGGGCAGGAAGGTGCAAGGGCCAGCAGGTTGGGGGAAGTCGTGAGCAGCGATGTGGCCCGAGCCCAGGGAGGTGAACTGGGCAATTTGTGACAGCCCAGGGACATCACCCAGTCCTGGGGTTGATGTAAGGAGGGTACTTTTGCCTTTCACCTGAGGCTGAGGGGAAAACTGAGGTCAAAACAGAAGAGAGCCTGTCTCTTCACTGACCCGTGAGCCGAGAAGGAGGGAGAAATGACAGGAAAGGGAGCCAGCCAGACTTGGGAGACTGAGCAGAGCCCTACTATAGAGCCAAGCCAAGTTAAATGGGCTGGAACAGGGATGCTGAGGCAGGAAGAGGGGACTTGAAGGGGAGAGATGCCCACAGATCCCAGGAGCTCAGACTTGGGAGGAGAACACCCCCAGACGGGCTGGTGGGAGCAGGAGGAAGGGCAGCCATGAGCTTCATGTGTAAAGCCTGTCCTGGGCCCCCATCCAGCCTGACCTGGGCTTTCTGTCACCTTCACCTTCAATGCTGCCTTTTCTCAGCCAACCTCTCACCAGCACGCCGGGACCTGAGCAAGCAGCTGCTGGAGGGAGCTCTGGAACAACCTCCGGAGAAAGACCACGTGCCAGGCCTGGCGTCTCGGGGTAGGCCCGGGCTGCAGGCTGAGCGGGAGTGAGAGTGCAGTGGGCAGCACTCCGTCCTTAGAGAGGGACAGCAGACAATGGTGTGGAGACCCAATACAATTAACTGTGGCGTTCAGCCCCTGCTCCAGGCACGCTGGTGGAAGAGCTTTCTGACGTACAGGGGACTCTGTCCTCTGCCTACCACCAGCACAGCTGAGACTTCTTCCTTAGTCAGCTGTCAGTTGAACCCGAAGTTTTCCTTTATTCCTGGTGCCAACCCCCGTCCCCGCGTCCCACACAGAGGCTGCTCACCCTCCCCCGTCCCAACGTCTCACACAGAGCTAATTACCTTGCCCTGTCCCCGTGTCCCATACAGAGGCTGTTTGCCTTGCCCCGTCCTCATGTCCTACACAGAGGCTGCTCACCTTGCCCCGTCCCTGTGCCCTCAGGTCCCCTGTGACTCGGAAACATGCCGCCTCGGCACTCCCTACAGGCTCCCCAAAGCGGGGAGCAGCCCCTGGAGACGTCTCGGCCACGGGTTGGTTTTTTGTTTTCTGCTCTATTTGGGAGTTTAACCTGGGTGAGGAAGAGGTGCTTTGAGCTTCCTTTTGGGTCCCTGGGACATGAGTGACACTAGCCCCTCCTGGACACCTGCAGGCCCACAGCCCTGGGCCACCCTGCTCATTTCTCTGCTGCTGTTTCAGAGCCTGCTATGTGTTTCCCGAGCACCCAGGAGCCCACAGAGCCTTCTCTGCCCATCCAGGTAGGGGCGCAGGTAGACAGGTGTAGGTCAAGGTCACGGCTCAGGGAGCAATTCTCCATGCACAGAGGCAACACCAAAACTTCAATCTGATGACCTGCCAGGAAAAATATGTCAGACATACCAAATGTGGCGTCGGCCACCTCCCCCAGCACCCCTCACCAGCACTTGCCGGAACTTCTAGCCTCACTGCTCCCAGGCAGAGTTGGGTGTTAATTTCCCTACATCAATGGGAATTCGAGGAGGTAGCCAGGCCGGGAGCTGGGAATGCTGCCGTCAGAAAGCAGGGCTGCAGGGTCCTGTTCAGTCTAGAAAGCCTCCTCCACCCCTGCCATTCTCCTGCCACACCTCTGCCTCTGTTTCCATGCATGGCAGTCACCTCTGACACCTGAGCATGGGAGGTGTGGCCCCCAGGAGTGTGTCCCTGGGAGATGGTGGGTAGGGGGCAGCTTGTGGGAACCAGATTAGTGTTAACATGTGGGCTTCAGGGCTAACAGGAAAAGCCAGCATCAGCTTTCGTCAGCGGAGACTCAGCTGGGGTTCAGCCATTTGTCTGGGAAGCTGGAGACCACGCTGGGGAGGAAGCTGTTCCGAGGGGTGGAGGGAGCCACGTGCTCCTGACCGGACCTGCAAGGGGAAGTACACTGGGGACTGCTCAGCTGCAGTGACTGTAACTCTCCAAGGCCTTGGCCCTGTCTGCAGCCACAGATCAGAAGCAGGGAGGTCCAGTGAGCAGAGGGCCAGGAGGTAGCTGATCCCAGCTGGTCTGTCCCCTCCCTAACCAAGAAACCTCTCGTCCTCTCCTACAGCCCCTGCTCCCAGAGTCCCTGGCCCTGAGCCTGCTGCCAGGCACAGAATACCAGAAGCAGCTCCTGGCAGCACAGGTGAAGCTTCAGAGCGGCACCGCCGGGCTCCAGGCCGAGCTGCTGCAGAGCCAGGCCCGGCTGGCAGAGCTGGAGGCCCAGGTGAGTGCCAGTGGGGCCGCTAGCACTGGGGGCAAAGTTGCAACGGGAGGGGTCACTGAGAGACTGAGAGTGGCTGGAAGCATCCCCAGGAGGAAGGAGGGGCTGTTGGCACAGGGCAGTGTAGAGCACAGCCACCTCCCCTCCCTAATCGCTGGCCCTCCTGCCGTCTCCCAGGTGCGGAAGCTGGAGCTGGAACGGGCCCAGCATGAGCTGCTGCTGGGGAGTCTGCAGCAGCAGCACCAGGCAGACCTAGAGCTCATCGAGACTTCACACAGGTACCCCAGCGCCGGCCCCAGCTCTGCCTTGGCTCTCACGCTGACCCCAAAGGCCACCCCAGTGTGCTTGGAGAGGCCTTTAGGTGGCAGCCCTCTGCCTTCCTCATGCCATGGCTGGGTGTTCTGTTGGCAGAAGCCGCATCAAGATGCTAGAAATATCATACCAGCAACGGGAGGAGCGTCTCCGGAGAGAGAACGAGGAGCTGTCAGCTCGGTATCTGTCACACTGCCAGGAGGCCGAGCAGGCTCGTGCTGAGCTCACCGCCCAGCACCAGCGGCGCTTGGCTGCTGCAGCACAGGAGAAGGACCAGGAAATGGAGCGGCTCCGGGAGCTGCAGCGGTGAGGCCCAGGGACAGGCAGCTGGGGACAGGCTTGCAAGGACCGGCCAGAAGGGAGCCATCCTCACGAGATCCTCAGCTGTGGCTCAGCAGCCCTTGGACAGGGATTTGAGCCCTTCCCTTCCAGCCCAGTGAGTGAGGACTGAGGGCTGGGCACACTGACCCATCACACGCATGGGTAGAGTGCCACCTGCTCTTACAGAGGCAGGATGGGGTATCCACAGGCTGTCCACGCATGGCATGGCAGCAGCAAGCCCTCCAGGGCCTAACTAAGCACAGGGTAATCCACTCACCAGCTCACGCAGTAGAGGCTAGAGACAAGGTCTGCCCAGGAAAGGCTTGCACTGTTGTGCCTGCCATGTTGATAGGGTTGCCTTTCTAGAAGAGAAGGAAACTAAGAAGTTACCTAAGGGAGTCAGAGGTCTCGCTCTGTCGCCCAGACTGGAGCGCAGTAGCACGATCTCGGCAAACTACGCATCCTGGGTTCAAGCGATTCTCCTGCCTCAGCCTCCAAAGTAGCTGGGATTACAGGCGCCCACCACCATGCCAGGCTAATTTTTGTATTTTTAGTGGAGATGGGGTTTCACCATGTTGGCCAGGCTGGTCTTGAACTCCTGAGCTCGCGATCTGCCCACCTCGGCCTCCCAAAGTACTGGGTTTACAGGCGTGAGCCGCCACCGTGCCTGGGTCAGAGCCCGCCTTTTAAGACTGCTCAGGGCCAGGCACGGTGGCTCACACCTGTAATCTCAGCACTTTGGGAGGCCAAGGTGGGAGGATCACTTGAGGCCAGGAGTTTGAGACCAGCCTGGGCAACACAACAAGACCTTGTCTCTAAAAACAGTTTTGAAATTAGCTGGGCATGATCGTGACTTGGGAGGTTGAGGTGGAGGATACCTTGGGCCCACGAGGTCAGGCTGCAGTGAGCTATGATCATGCCACTGCACTCCAGCCTGGACCACAGAACAAAACCCTGTCTCTAAAAATATTTTAAAAACAAACAAAAAAGATACTTTGGGAGGCCAAGGCAGGAGGATTGCTTGAGGCTAGGAGTTCAAGACCAGCCTGGGCAACATAGCAAGATCTCATGTCTACAAAAATAAAAAAAGAAAAGAAAGACTGCTCAGGTTGGCCGGACTCAAAAGAAGTGTACACATGGTTTTTCCTTGCTCTATGTAAAGTGCTCTTTGCTGAATAACCGGAGGAATCTCCATCTTAGTGCATGTAGCATTGAGGCACCATGACAGATAAGACAGAGGAGCTGGGGAAACTGAGGCAGTGCCCAGAGGAAGAGAGGCCTGGGAGCAAGGGCTGCTTCGAAGCACGCCCTTCCACAAGGAGCTGCCGTGTCTGGGTGGTCCTGCTCAGAGTGGCTGTGGGCCTTCCCCTCCCACCCCCCCTCAGGGCGTCCATCCTGGAGATGCGCAGAGACCACGAGGAGCAGCTGCAGCGGCTGAAGCTGCTGAAAGACCGAGAGGTCGATGCGGCCACCAGCGCCACCTCCCACACACGGTATGTGTACTGCCCCAACCGTGCTTGCCCGAGGGTGGGGCTGGGGGGGTCCCAAGACTTTCAGGAGGCGGTGACCCAGCCTCCTTCCAGGTCCCTGAATAGCATCATCCACCAGATGGAGAAGTTCTCCAGCAGCCTGCAGGAGCTGTCCTCCCGCGTGGAGGCCTCGCACCTCACCACCTCCCAGGAGCGGGAGCTGGGGATCCGGCAGCGGGACGAGCAGCTGCGGGGTACGCCCTCCCTCTCAGACCCTCAGACCCCTGGTGGGAAGGAGAGCAGTTGCCAGCACCCTGTGGGTTGCCCTCAGCACTGCAGGAGCGGCTGGGCCAGCAGCAGCGGGACCTGGAGGAGGAGCGGAGCCGGCAGCAGGAGGTCATCGGGAAGATGGAGGCGCGACTGAATGAGCAGAGCCGGCTGCTGGAGCAGGTGAGGCGGGTCCTCCTGGCCCTCCTGCCATGGGGCCTCTCCTCCAGGGCACCCGCAGGTGTGGCGACACTCTCCTGACCTCACCTCCTCAGGAGGTCAGCGCTGAGGCTTGACTCTCCCGTGGGCATCATCCCCCACCCCCCCACCACTACTTCCTGCCTCTACGTCTCCCTGCCCCGGCCAGGCCCTCAGCATTGCCCACCTGAGCACACAGGGGCCACCTGGCCAGGCCCCCACCATGCCCTTGCCTGCTCCTCACCACCGCAAGCCCTTCAGCCACCCTGGCCGCCCTCCACAGTCTAACCCTGAAACCATCAGCTGCACTCGGAGCTGTCCCCTTACCCAAGCCCTGTGACATTGGGACAGATGCTCTTGCCTATTAAATGTCAACCTAGCCTCTTCAGCTCTAACAGACATTTGAACTTCCTAAATACCTTTTGTATATAAGCACATGCTTTAATTAAATAATAATGACCTCAGCCAGGCACGGTGGCCTGTGCCTGTAATCCCGGCTACTTGGGGAGCTGAGGCAGGAAGATCACTTAAGTCCAAGAATTTGAGACCAGCCTAAGCAACACAGTGAGATCCCATCTCTAAAAAAATATGCCAGGCATATTGGCTAATACCTGTAATTCCAGCACTTTGGGAGGCCAAGGCTGACAGATCACTTGAGGTCAGGAGTTCAAGGTCAGCCTGGCTAACATGGTGAAGCCCTGTCTCTAATAAAAACATAAAAACTAACCAGGCATGGTGGCGTATGCCTATAATCCCAGCTACTAGGGAAGCTGAGGGAGGAGAACCGCTTGAACGAGGAGGCAGAGGTTGCAGTGAGTAGAAATAGCACCACTGCACTCCAGCCTGGGTGATAGAGTGAGACTCTTCTCAAAAATAAATAAATAAAGTTTTGTTGTAATTAGCTGTATGTGGTGGTGCTCACCTGCAGTCCCTGCCTTTGCTCACATCCCTGTCCTTACCTGTGGAAATCTTTCCAGGCTGAATTCAATGGTAATGAATCTTTCGATGCTACCACCTCCATGCAGCCTTCCTTGCCCTCCTACCTATCTTCTTGTTCCCAGATAGTAGCTGTCATCCTTTAGGTTTTACGAAGCACTTTCTTTGTTTTTAGAGAGAGGGTCTTGCTCTGTTTTCCAGGCTGGAGTGCAGTGGTGTGGTCATAGCTCACTGCAGCCTGACCTCCTCGGCTCAAGCCATCCTCCTGCCTCGGCTTCCAGCTCTACTGCAGGTGCACACTGCCACACCCAGCTAATGGTGTATTTTGTGTTGAGATAGGGGTCTCGCCATGTTGCCCAGGCTGGTCTTGAACTCCTGAGCTCAAGCAATCCACCCACCTAGGCCTTCCAACATTTTGAGAGTATAGGTGGGAGCCACCATGCCTGGCCAAAAACTTTTTTTTAGAGATGGGCTGTCACTGTCATCAGGCTGAGGTGCAGTGGCAAGATCTTGGCTCACTGCAGCTTGAACGCACTCCCAGGCTCAAGCAGTCTTCCCTCAGCCTCCAAATAGTTGGGATCACAGGTACGTGCCACTAGACCTGGCTAATTTTTCATATTTTTTGTAGAAATGGGGGTTTGCCATGTTACCCAGGCTGATCTCAAACTCTTAAGCTCTGACAATCCGCCCACCCCACCTTGGCCTCCCAAAGTCTGCGCAGGGATTACAGGCATGAGCCACCATGCCCAGAAATTTTTTTTTTTTTTTTTTTGAGACCAAGTCTCACTCTTTCACCCAGTGGTATGATCTTGGCTTACTGCAACGTTTGCCTCCTGTGTTCAAGGGATTCTCCTACCTCAGCCTCCTGAGCTGCTGGGATTACAGGCACCCGCCACCACATGGAGCTAATTTTTGTCTTTTTAGGAGAGACAGGTTTTACCATGTTGGCCAGGCTGGCCTCGAACTTCTGACCTCAGGTGATCCACCCGTCTCGGCCTCCCAAAGCACTGGGATTACAGGCCTGAGCCACTGCACCTGGCCAAAAAAAAGTTTTTAAAGAAGGAAATGAAAGTATCCCACTAGTCAGAGATGTCCAGTAGTGACCTAATATCTACCCTGTGGCCATATCAACGTAGATAGAGATGCTTTTATATTGTGAGCCTCTTCATTTGGTAACTGTGTTAAGCACCTGCCTGGGGTCAGGCACAGGGAAGCTCTCGCCTCATGCTGTGTGGCTGGGCCCGTGGCATGGCGCCAGACCGCCCTGTGCTTAGCCTGCTTGGCTGTTGGGTGAAGACAGGCAGAGTGCGGACGGAGCTGGTGATTCAGTGGCAGGGATGTTGCCCCTGGGCCTCCCAAGCTGCTAGCCTTGGTGCAGCTGGAGACCTGAGGGTTGGGCTGGCGCCTGCTGGGTCCTCCTCTTGGACAGAATCGTGTGGGCTGGGCTCTGGCGGTGCCTCCCAGGCACCCCTCATTTTGTGCCTCTTTGGGAAGGATAAGTCAGTGGCATAGCGTGGGAGACACTGGTGGGTTTGTGGCCAGGCCTGATCCTCAGGGCAAGAACCATGCTCACAGTCTTACCTGGGCACTACAGGAACGCTGGCGGGTGACTGCTGAGCAGTCCAAGGCGGAGTCCATGCAGCGTGCCCTAGAGGAGCAAAGGAAGGTCACAGCCCAGCAGATGGCCATGGAGAGGGCAGAGCTGGAACGGGCCAAGGTGAGTCATGCCTCTGCCCTCAGCCCCTAACCCTGCCATTATGCCCAGGGACACTCATCCCATGCCCTCGACCCCACATCCCAGAGCGCCTTGCTGGAGGAGCAGAAGTCTGTCCTGCTCAAGTGCGGGGAGGAGCGGCGGCGCCTGGCGGCTGAGTGGGCGGAGTTCTCTGCACAGCAAAAGCTGAGTAAGGAGCGGGCCGAGCGTGAGGCCGAGCGGGCGCTGCAGATGGACACCCAGCGGGAGGGCACCCTCATCAGCCTGGCCAAGGTAGTGCCCTGAGCCTCTGGCACAGTGGAGGGCCGGGGTAGCTTCTGCCCCTCCCTCTGGACACACCCAAGTCCAGTCTTAGGAAAAGAGAGCATAACACTAATGTCACAAGAACACAGGCATTAAAACAATAATCACATCCTCATGCTCACAGCTTCCTTGTACTGTCCCAAGTGCCTTATGCACATTTTCTTATTTGATCCTCATATTCCCATGACTTTGATCATTTAGAAATCAGGAACCCGAACTTCAGAGTTGAGCTTGCCACAGTCACGTGGCTGGTGAGAGCAGCACCCTGGCTTGGCCCCGGGCTTCTCTGGCCCTCCCTGGAAGCCCCTGCCTCCTAGGGGCAGGTTGGGCAGAGGGGACCCAAGAGTCCTGCACAGAGCGCAGCGCAACTCCTGGAGGAGAATGCAGCAGGGCCTCTGCCGTCCCCAGGAGCAGACCGAGCTGAAGATGAGGGCCAGCGAGCTCCGGGCCGAGGAGAAGCAGCTGGCAGCCGAGAGAGCAGCCCTGGAGCAGGAGTGGCAGGAGCTGCGGCTGGAGAAGGAGAGGCTCAACACCACTGCCCTGCGTGTTAAGCTCCGCGCCGAGGAGGTGGAGAGCATGAGCAAGGTGCTGCTTGGGCACATGGGCATGGGCGCGGCCCCGCCCAGGCAGCCTTGACCCAGGTGGCCTCCCTGCAGGTGGCCTCCGAGAAGTACGAGGAGGGGGAGCGGGCATTGCGCGAGGCCCGGCAGGTGCAGGCAGAGCAGCAGGCCCGGCTGCACGCAGTGCAGCAACAGCAGGAGCAGCTACGGAAGCAGGAGCAGCACGTGCACCAGGCAAGGCTCCCGGAGTGAATGGCGCCCCGGCCCCCAGTACCCCCAGCCTCCCACCTCATAGCTAAGGCCTTCTTTCTGGGGCAACGGGGACAGGAGCATCTGAGTCTGGCCCAGCAGAGGCTGCAGCTGGACCGTGCACGACAGGACCTGCCCTCCAGCCTCCTGGGGCTGCTCCCCAGGGCCCAGGGCCCCGCAGCCTGCAGCCAGAGTGGTGAGTGGCTCCAGAAGGAAGGGCCGGGGGCTCAGGACTGGGCAGGGGCTAGGAGTGGGCAGGCCCCCCTCTAGCCGCTCAGTTAAGGCAGCCAGCTGGGTTTTACAGTTGTCTTATTATTTTTTACACAAATAATGTGTGTTAATTTCAGGTAAATAGAAATAGAGGGACACTATTAAAAATGTCACCTTTTTGTGACTCTGCACTCGGGAAAAAAAGGAAATAAAAAAAATCATTGTCAGCCTGGGCGAGGTGGCTTACTCCTGTAATCCCAGCACTTTTGGCGACTGAGGCGGGCAGATCACCTGAGGAGTTCGAGACCAGCCTGGCCAACATGGTGAAACCCCGTCTCTACTAAAAAGACAAAATTAGCCGGGCATGGTGGCGGGAACCTATAATCCCAGCTACTCAGGAGGTTGAGGCAGGAAAATTGCTTGAACCCAGGAAGTGGAAGTTGCAGTGAGCCAAGATCCCACTACTGCACTCCAGCTTGGGTGACAGAGCAAGACTTCATTTAAAAAAAATAAATTCCCCAGGCTTGGTGGCTCATGCCTGTAATCCCAACACTTTGGGAGGCTGAGGCGAGCCAATCACAAGGTCAGGAGATCATGACCATCCTGGCTCACATGGTGTAACTCTGTCTCTACTAAAAATACAAAAAAATTAGCTGGGCATGGTGTCACACGCCTGTAGTCAGGAGGCTAAGGCAGAGAATCGCTTGAACCTGGGAGGCTGAGGTTGCAGTGAGCTGAGATTGTGCCATTGCACTCCAGCCTGGGCTACAGAGCAAGACTCCATCTCAAAAAAAGAAAAAAAAAAGTCACCCTCAACACCACTCCGGGTCTAGAGAGAACCACTTTTTAACGTTTCGGTACATAATCTTCCATTCCACTCTGGCACATATTTTTTTTTTTTGGAGATGGAGTTTCACTCTTGTCACCCAAGCTGAAGTCCAGTGGTGTGATCTCAGCTCACTGCAACCTCCACCTCCCAGGTTCAAGTGATTCTCCTGCCTCAGCCTCCCAAGTAACTGTGATTGCAGGCATGTGCCACTGCACCTGGGTAATTTTGTTTTTTTTGTTTTTTTTTTTGAGACGGAGTTTCACTCATGTTACGCAGGCTGGAGTGCAATGGCGCAATCTCGGCTCACCACAACCTCCG